AAGAACCATTTCCTTCTGCCTTCAGTTTTATTGTTGTGTTTCTATCACCCCAGTATTTGGAAGCCTGTAGCATTTGTTCCCTTACAAAAATAAACAAATAAATAAATAATATATTTTCTGTGCCACATGTAAAATTGACATGTGGCAAACACATTTTCACTCAAATTCCATAAAAAAATAAACAAACACATTTTCACATTTCATAGTGAAAACCCATGTGAAACCCAAAGGTTACAGCATGTGGATCACATAAAAAATCAGTACAAATGTAATTTTTTTAAATGAAAAAAAAACAAAAAAAAAAAAACAAGAGCAATATAAGTTGCATTTGTAGAAAAGCCCTGAGGTTGTGAGTTGTTCATTGAATTTAAGAGGGAGACAGTCTGAGGAAAAAACTGCCACTGTAGCAGTTACTTTCTGTTATTAGTGTTCTGTAGTGCCTCCCTGTCTGAACAGTCTCTTACTATGATGAGTTGGGTTTGCAGGGATAATAGTTCTGATTTTTGGCTCTTGTCTTGCATATAGTGTTGATGGACTGGGAGGTCAGTCCCTGTGATCCTTTCCGCAGATCTAATTGTTATTTGCAGTCTGGCTTTGTCCTGGTTTGTAAATGAAACAAACCATATTGTATTTAGCTCCATAGCTTCATATAAACTCTGATTAGCTTTTCTTTCTGCCTGGTCAAGAAAAGGATTCTGGCATCATACCATCACAACTAATCCTGTTCCCATATTATCACACCTGTGCATTGCATTCTAGTAGTTCCTCCAGAGGCAATTGTTAGTTTTGATGAGTGTAAAGACAGACGCATCCCCCCCAGTTGTTCTTTTTATAGCTTTTTATGTAAGAATAAAAAATATGATTTATCCTTTTACTTCACAATTATCAACCGTTTGTGTAGATTTACTGCATTCATTCTAATACTGTACCTTAAAGGGGCATTGTCACAAGATTAAACAAACATCATCTTCTTCATGATAAAATAAGGTCCCATACACCAAATAAAAAAGTATGAAATTATCATTTCCTAAAATAAAATATTGATTTTTGGAATTTTTATTGAAAAGATAATTCTAAAAAAAAATAACTATCCAAGACATATTACAGGATTTTGCCCATAAACTGAACCTGCATACCTACCTTTGATTTTTGTCTTTAATGAAAGGGTATGTCAACTTCCAAGCACAGCTATAAATGGAACAATCTAAACCTTTATAATCAATGCAATCTTATTAATGGTTTCAGGATGTTACTGTGGTCGAAAATAAACAGGACTTTGATCTGGTGTCCCCCAACAATCATCTAATTGGTTGTGAGGTTAGTTTTTAAAATTTTACGTTATAACTACTTCTGTTTAGAACAATTTCAAATAACAAAAATAAAACTTTAGCCATGCTGATGGCCATGTATGACTTTCTCATCTGCTGTTTATGTTCTGACTCTTTTAAGATGATGAGGTGGATCATCAGTGAGCTCCATATTGTTTGGATGCTCAATTCTGACTCAACTACACAAGAAGATAGCTGGAAACCATGGGAGCACATCTACTCGCTGTGTGACGTGGTGAAAGGTCATGTGCCACTTTATAACAGCTATGGAAAATATGTGATCAGACTTTACTGGATGGTAAGTCTGTCAAAAAAAAAAGCATGTAGACTTAGACAACTTAAGAATATCGTATTCATAAAGAACTTCCTGAGGTTAATGCTGATCACTTGTTTCCATCAGAACAGTTGCTTGTATTTTTTTCTGCTTTAAATTCCTCTAGATTTATTCAATGAGAATAAAATAAAATTAAACAGAGGGCCGTTAGAGCTTAAGTCGATCATTATCACTGCCATGGATAAAATATACACCTACAAGGCTTAATAATTGTTTTATTACTGCACTTAGTTTAGTGTTTAATTTTTATATCATTTTACAAGAGTTATAAAGTTAAATGGTTTTGGAATAAATTGAAGCTACCCTTCAAGTAATTGGTCTTCAAGTGAAGTGGTGGTTGCTATATCACTTTTCTTTGTTTTTTTTTTGTTTTTTTTTGTTTTTTGCAGCAACGGTTTGGGTCAACAACAGAGAAAATGTGCAACACTATATTATTATTTATTGTAACACTGATTCTTGCTTTGACAAACAACCATAACACAGTTGTAGGCATCACTTCCTGTGCCAACCATAGCATCCAAACAGATGGTTGTTGAGATGCTATTAGGCACCCAGCCCCCACTACTCTCCTTTCATGTTTCATTACAGCTCTTTTTGTTTAGTTTTCTGTGTCACTAACTGTCTTTTTTGTTTAATGTTTATTTTTGTGGAACTGTCGTTCACAAGAAAGGCTTATTTATTTTTATTTATTTATTTTTTAGAATTCTCTTACATTTTTCAGTCTCTGCCTTTACGTAAGATCCTGCATTGTATTTCACCCCTTCATGTGGGCAAATCAAGATCTTTTGTGGGAGAAAGAAATGGTTGGTGCAATAAGAAATAAAGGGAGAGTCGCCCTTTCCCACCTCTGCTCCATAGAGGTTTGCAATGCTTGTTAAACAACAGAAAATACAATGTTTTGAACAATCATACAAGCAACACCGGATGTGCTTATTTTTTTCACTAGCAGTGTAGAAATTCTGCTAGATGGTTAGCAGAAGTAACATTATTACTCATCACTACTATTAAGGCAGTAAATGCTACAAGAAGTACAATGGTGCAAAGCATAAAACCCAAGATCTGCTTGTGAATGAATCCTTTACAATGATTGGAGGATAATTACTGGTTCTCTTATGTGAGAAACAGTGTCACTTTTAGATTATTGATGAATAAAGGTTAAATAAAAAAATAAAAAATATAATCTCTGGCATTGCATTCTTTACAGTGTCAAAGAAAAAAGATTTAGTTGAGGTAGTAATAACACACAAAAAACATGTGACTTCAACACCAAGTGGCACTAGAGCAGTTAAAAAGTTGTCAATATTTTTTTAAGCTGTATTTCAACATTAATGTGTTTTTAATTATTTAAAAAATATATTCATGTTGTGTTAATTAGAAATAATACTAGCACATACCCCATAAAATAGATTACATGCTAATATTAACTAACATTTGTATTAATGTTGGGTCTTATGTGATAAACTCCGTACCGTCAAATAAAAGATCCAGATATGTAATACCTTTATTCTTCCAGTATAGAATGTTTATCATATTATTGTTTTGTAGAATGTCAGGGTTATCCCAGATGGGTGTATGACTACATGGGATAAGGGATGACTTCGTCATTTTAAGAAATTCCCACCATTCTGTCAGGGAAGAGCTGATGTTAATTTTTTA